ATGCCGTATAGTTAGGTTAAAATTACACAGTTCCACAAAAACTGGCGTAACAATTGACTCATGTGTTGCGGCATGTATTATAATAGTACAGGTATATTTTTTCACATTTCTCTTGTATCTTCTAAAAGATGATTTCTAAAAGTGCTGACGTAGTTTTTGGATACTCCCGGAAATTATTTGGCCGTTTCAAATCAAATGAAAACCTTAATGATATTTTATTGATCGAATTGCTTTGAACATTTTTTTCTGAGCCAGGTAAACAACAAAGATTACAGCTACAACTGGTAAAAAAACAATCAAATGGAGAAAAAACTGAAATTACGCTTAATTTAAAACATAAGAAAAAGCAACCTAGTTCAGGATCCAATGAAATAGAGTGCCAGTTAGAATATTTATTTGAAAGTTAAAAATGAATTTGAATAAAACATTTTCATAACAATTTCTATGCGTCATAAATGCTCTTGAGTGTTTTCGATATTATCTTTGATTTTCATGAAAAAATACCATTAACATGTCGCTAGAGAGTGTTGACTTGACTTTTAGTTCTACCCTAAGATGAAAATTTTCCATACCTTTTATCATTTATTTTTATGCCGGGGCTGTTTTAAGAACAAGGGGTGGACCTTTTCCCCTCTGGGATCTAGAATATCCATTTTCGGCCGAACAAACCAGACATTTTTCTGAGGCAGCTTATGCCGCCAATATATACTACTTTTGAAGGGGAGCGCGCGTCGAAAAAGCGCTAGTTTTTGGTCAAATTTTTCCAAAAAATACCCAGATGTTTTTTCAACAATTTGACTGAGGCGCAAATACTTTGTCAAAATAGGGTTTTCATAGTGATATCGGAGCGCCCAGACAATCAATTTTTTTTGGTCTGAAGAAAATCAATCGGACTTTGGTCGATCTAAAATAGGAAATTTTTTGAAAATCCCCTCCTTCCGCTTGAGAAAATCCTAAATCCGCCCCTGATTAGTTGCAGAAATTTCTAAATAAGGTTTTTTAAATTAAAATTGGCCCGACAGAATACAAGTTAAGCAAAGTGTAGCCTAATCGATCAAAGTTTTTGCCCGTTGTTCAGTTTAAACCGGATTGTCAAAATCGAAGCAGAATGTGCTCGAGAGGATATTCAACTTGGTCAGCTGTCAATCTTCACCAAATGAATTTAGTAATATTTTTTCGTTAATAATTTTCAGATAAGATTTATTGATTTGTTTCAGTTGCTGAAGTCATATGATGATGAGTGTTTTGAATGTCACAAGTGCACCAATAATAACATAATAACTATTGTTCGCGCACAACTTTAAAGTTTGTTAATAACAATTCTTTTTATCCTATCAAGTATCGGCTCTTTGATGTCGTCCTTCAAAGTGGGTTGAATCCAATCTAAAATAATTTCTGATCAAATCTGGTTATAGACTGCTCCATTTCTTGTTCATATTTGCGTATAGACATAGCCGGTCTGATTGAAATGTCTGAATTTTCTGCATATTTTAACATTCATAGCTGGATTATGGTTGTCTGATGAATGACTATGGTTAAAAAAGATAAGCTATAAAACATGTAAAACGTATTTCAGCGAAAATATTTTCAGTGGCCTTGTCTGCTTTAAGTTAGCCTCAAAAATGGGTTAGCTTTTGGACACTTCGGTTTGGTGTTATTTATGAACAACGAGTATACTTTGAAAAAGCTAGACTTAGTTCACATGGTCGCAGTTTAAGCAATATGGATCATTATGTTATCTTACTGCTTTTGAGATTTTGAGCTTTTTCTCCGCTATTAAAATGACACTTTCTGATTTGGTATAAAATTTAACCGTATAAGTGCACGACTAGTTTGTTTAAAGATGAAAAAACGACTTAATCAAAGTTTAACCAGAAGTTTAAAACATAAAAACTGATTTACGTTCTGGCGTACAAAAATGGTATGGTCAGATTTGGAGTTAACATATGACAATTTTTCACAAAATGGTTTGTACTTTCAAAATTGTTGTACTCATGCTGAAAAATATAACAAAAATAAATCTTCTTTATTCTCTCTGAAAGACGCTGCAGCTTATAGATCCAATTTTAATAACTAAAACCAAATTATTCTGAAATCCAAGTTGCACATTGAACAGCTATCCGAATCGAATCAGAGCTTACATATCTTTGAAACAAATCAGCGACAACACAAAAGTCATGATGAGTGTTATCGAATTGGCTGGTTCCGCGATTAAACAGAAGGCGGGTAGAATATGTGACATTGACAAGTGGGACCCAACAGACAGAGAGAGGAAGTGGCTTCTAATATCAGGTGCAAGTGAGCCTCCAAATTATATCCAGCTGTCCGAAATGGGGGAACGTGAGGCGAGAGAAAGGCGGGACTTATTTCTTAAAGGTCAAAGTGTGGATTTCGTGAACATGGAGAGAGCTGTTGGTCATCATCTCTACAACAGAGTGCAAAATTTGCACATGAGAAAAGAAGATGTGAAATCAAGCGTTCAGAAGTTTTTCCAGCATTGCAACACTAAAAAATACAAGCCAATGCTATATTACACTGGCCATGGGGAAATGCCAACTGGAAACTGGTGTCTGGCTGACGGTACAGTTGGAATAGAAGAGATCTTTGATTGGATCCCAACTGGTATGGAACCCCCAACTATCTGCACAGACTCATGTTTCGGAGGAGTGTGGGCTAATTACTGCATTATGAAGAATGTCCCAGGATTTCACTGTCTCTCTGCGACGATAGACTACCAGGCTGCTTATGATCACACTGGTAAATTATTCTCGACCGTTGAACCATATATGCTGGCGTCAGATTGTGAAATCAATTACAGCTTAACAACAAAGCGACTATCTAATTACAACTATAGCAATGGAAAGCGATATAATATTAAGAAATGAAAATCATTCTCAAATTCAATTCAAATTCAAGTTCACCTGCTCCTTTAGTGTTTCGGATCAAAATTGTTTCGGATGATATTTTTAGACTAAGCAATCTCTAATATGTCTTTTGTCATTAAATAATTTTTTTATCCTCATGATTATACGCGCTTTACTTTTTGCATTCAGTTTTGGTATTCTGCCAAAGTATTTAAAAGTCTTTGCGAGCCCTTTGTTTACCTATGTTTAAAAGACAGCGCAAAACTTGTTCTTTAGTGATCCAGGTCAAAACCATGCTATGGTCATTTACTCACTTGTGAAGCCGTCACCTAACGTTACCTTTATTGGAAAAAAAGGCGATTCTGAGACTAATCAATTTCTTTGTGTTTAGATGGAGGAGGTGAACTGACACACTACATGACAGGCAATGAGAGTAAACTTGAAGATCAGCGACCTTCCACTGAGCCAATGTTCAGCAGAGGAACCTTCACTGAATTCTGTACAATTGAAAAATACGGCAAAACTAATTACATAGACTTCATCAGATTTTATACGTACAATAACCTACAGACTTTGATATCACAGAGTGTACATGGCAACAACATGATAGCTATATTCGATAATCACAAAAAGTTTAACACAGGGAAGAAGCAATTTTTGGTCAGCTCCTCGTTCAAAGAAGTGAAGGAACAAGTAAAAATTCACACCAAGGCAGGCATGAATATTTTCTCACTTGCAGCTGATCAGAAAACGGGAAAGTTTTACGTTTATATGATGGAAGATTTTTTTGGCAAGGCACAGTCCATTATGCAAACTGAAGACCCCGAAGATCTGTTTTTGCCTGGTCTGTCTGTGACTAGTGTCAACTGCCTCAATAAAAAATACTTTTTCGTAGTAACTGCCGGTGTGACTCAATATGAGAATAAAGAACAAGTGATATTCACAAAGAGCAACAGGTCAGATCTAGATACTGAAATTAAAAAGCAGAGGTCAGAAGGAAAAAATATTACCTCTTTTTGCATCAATCACGAGTTGAGTGAGTACCTGGTAGTGATGACTGAGATGGAAGGGTGCGAACAGGCGAGTGGATGGTTCAATACTACAACTACAGATGGATCAAGGGAGCGTAATAAATGGTCAGAACCTCATACGAGAAGAGGACTACTGTACACAATAGTGTGTAAGGATCCGTCAGATGGACAAACATTCTACGTTGTGACTTCGGATGAGGATAGAATTGGATCCAAAGTCAGAGATACATCCTTCTTCAGCTGAATGTCTGACGAGTAAAATTTATCTTAATCAATTTCTTAATTGATATTTATTTTGACCCAAAGCTACTATACCAACTGTTTATTTCAGTGAGTTAACTGCTTCATCTGCTGTGAACTAAATTCACACAATACAATAGTGAACTTTAAAACCGATCATTTCAATGATAGAACAATTTTTGCAGTGAATAGTTGTTGAAATAAAAACTGCTTTTAATTTGGAAAAAAGTGCATTGTGCAGATATTGCGCTTACTGAGTTTTTAAACGAAAGCAGAAAATATAGCAAAATTCTTAGCCCTTCTTTAAAGTATAGATTAGTTTCATTAAATTGTTTTATTAAATCGATATTTTCATCCTAGTATTTTTTCAGACAAGCAGTTTGCCTTAACTCTATAACTGTTTTTTGAAATCAATCAGAGTTTGATTTTATCCTATACAACTAGTAAAAAATACAATAATGTTTAAAAAAGCATTTGTAAACAGATTCATATTCAATCAAGCGACCAGTTTTCTTTAGCCGATACTTATAGTTCCTATCAAATTATTATGATTTAAATGATGTTTTTGATTGATCAGCAAAAAATTGTGCCTTACGATTGAAATCAATTAATACATATTTTAGCTAATCAAATGACCTAATTTTTTTTATTACATCAGAACGCTCATTGAAATTTAGTTAACCAAAATGCAGACTAAACTCAACGCTCACCATTATATTTGAAATATTGATAAATCTAAAATCATTAACATAGTGATATTCTGATCTAATTCAAATTTTACTTCAGAAACTTTTTTGATGACGTATTTCATGATCACAATTTTGTTCATAGGATTTTGCACATGGTTGATATGTTATCTTGTCTACAAAGTAAAGTTCTAAAATTTCTGGGGTACTGTCCACTACTAACACTCATAGCTTCAAAATTGTTCTCGAATTCTGGCGGTGCTCTCTCGTAGTTAGCAGGATAGAAATGGTTGTTTTGATACACGACAAACTGGATGTTAGTTTGTTCATTCCTTCTACAAATTGATTCGCAGTTCCTCGAACGTGACTTCTGTTCTAAAAAATAATTTAAAAAAATTTAAAAAAAAAATTTATTTTTTACTTCAGAGAAATAATTTTCATTAAAACAAAAAACGGAACCTGGGGTGGTTTTATACCCTAAAGTTAAGCAGTCTTGTCATTAATCTTCACTCGATCATTGTAAAAACAAAAGCAGTAGATTTTCGAAGTTTTTTTTTCTGTTTTCAATGCATCGTTTCGGTATCTGCTACTATACTATGGCACATCTTTTGGAAATTAGAAGCAAACTTTTTTCAATGTTGAGCTTAGGGCCAATGTTTATTCTGTTCGAAAAAACTGTCGACCATAATTAAGTTTTCAGCGCAAAATTTAAATAAGCTATCGAAAACAAATTTCTCGTCGGTTTCAACCAGCGATTTGTCAGCCGGGGCGGATTTGAAAGGGGGCATTTGAGAGGGAGGGGCGAACGTCCATTCTTAAATGATGCGTCCCCCGGCCGACCCAAAGGGTCCCCCCATTTGATACTGTTTTAAAACATCACTTTTTGCCTGACAGAACCTAAAAAGTTTTGTCCCCCACCCTCCCTCTGAAAATTCTTCCGCACGCCACTGTTATAACGTTATTTGGTTGACCGTAAAAAACGCCGTAGTCAGCAATAAAATCAATACGAATGTGGCGATGTGAAGTTGAACTTGGGTAACCCGCCATTGTCTGTTCAGTCTGGGTTCCTATGCTCCTCTTTTCTTCACTCTGTTCAATCATTTCCACGTTTTTTTCCTGTGTAACACAACAAACTTCATTGAGATACTCTCATACTGAAAAATGTCTGGCATATTTCCATTCAAACTCTATAAAGTCAATAAAATGATTCCACCAACAAGAAAAATGGAGTGGCCCAGCAAATTAAAAAATAATAATACAAATTTGCTTCTGGATATTTGACTGTACCTTAGTAGGTTTTGAAGAAATTATAGAAAAATTGGTTGAAACATTTTTCAAAATTTCTCCAGTTTGACATGAAATGAGTTCTGAGCTAAGTTATCAGTCAACTAAAAACAATCTAGCCTGAAATTTTATCAAATCATGCAGTTTTAATTAAAAAATTCGTATAAAATTTTAAAAAACGTGACAGGTAAATCTTTCAAAGTTTCCAGATATTTTTCGTCGAAATTTTATTACAAACTTACAAGAAACTCACTTTTGCTTGCTGCTCTAAGTCTGCATGACATAGCACAAGAATTTGTTCAGCTTCATCCGGAACTTGCGAGTCAAATTGCACCGTTTTCAAACGAACCTCTTCCACGTCGATTAGGTTTTCTCCTAGAAAATAGTAAAATTAAAGATTTTAATGATTCACAGTTTTGTGGATAAACAAAAGAACAGTTTCAATGACGTTTACTCGAAAAAAAAATGAATTATCGGTCTTAAACTTCTGTTTCACGATTACAATTTTACTTCTATTTTTAAAACTGACATTTTCAATAATGTTTTACAAGTAGACAAAAAACTTAACTATAAATGGTCAGTTGAGTTCTACTTAACCGTTCTTAATCCTGGGCGATGAAAAAGAAAATTGTAAGCGACTATGAAAAACGCCTGGAAAATTTGTGTGCAGGATAAATAAAACTGATCACTTTTCAAACTTTTTTCGAACCAATCGAAACTTTCAAAAGAAAGATTTCAGATTTCAATTGAACTCTTTTTCATTTAACCTGATAAAATCTTAAAACTAAATTTTTAATTCCCCGCAAAACAGTTTTGTTAACTTCATCTTGTAGCAGCAATGTGTTTCTAATAGTATAAGACGATGCATCAAAAACTGTTACTCAAAGAGTCAATTTTTTGAAAAACCGCTCGACGCGCATTTTTCACACCACTTTCATCGGAGGACAGAAACTTTATTGTAATGTTGGATATTAGCAGGCTTTGAAATCCGTAATATCATCAATATGACAGTGTTAACAGTAAAATGACAAACCTTTCCCTGATTTGTCAATGTGCTCGTTTTTTGCTTCATTGTGCGTATGTAGCAAAGGAACGGCGAGAAAGTTGACAGCTGATCCGCTCAGACTCTGGCTTTTCTCCTTTTCTCCAGTTTTGTTCACGTTTGAGTCTTGGAACTGAAATTCAACAAATATTTCTTCATATTTTAAAAAATTTTACGAACCATCCATTAAATTTGCGTATTATGTCTAAGAAGATTAGTGAAGTGTATGGAATTAAAATGACAAAACCATACATTTTTCAGGGCGCTCTTCATCCTCGGGGGTTCGAGGGAAAATCGTCTCTTCTCTAGATTGGACATGTTCCTCCTGTTTTGATATCCGCTTATCGGTCGATGCTTCACACCTCCTCGCACGCCAGCTAATTTCGAAGTGCGGTATCTGCAGTAAATATGACACTGAGTGTAGTAATTATTGTTTTAAATAGTATTGTTGTTTTGTTTTAATTTTTGGCTCTCTTTTTCCCCCTGAAGTATTGACTTTTGAAGTTCGTCTTTTTATGATTTTTAAAAAAAATTTAGTACGATCAGTTCAATTTATTCATCATTTTTTGCTTGTTAGTGTTTTAATTTGTTTATAAGCTAACCTGCCGGAGTATATGTCGTCTTCAGTTAGGACCCACTCAATGGGATTCAGAGTCCCGTCCAGAACATTCTCAGACTCTCTAGATGAAACAACCAGTTAAATGAGCTGTTGAATAACTCTAATTTAGCCCAAATTTGTACTAGTTTTCGTAAAGTTGATTGCAAAATTGTGTCCTTATTGATTAAATCGGGTTCCCATTTTTGTTATAGAACTTGCTAAGTTTTTCAAAAAGAATTCAAACAACCTTTTACTTCTCCTGTTTTCAAAATTTGAAAAGTGCACCTTGTTATTCACATTAATAAATTATCCAAGTTAAGATTGGTTGAGATTTCTCCAACATTTCGGAACAACATTGTCCCAAAGATTTGTTTCCCAGTTGAAGATGAAAATGTATTTTTTTTTCATCATTGATAGAACAAAATCCCAATTTATTGATAAGACTTCATGTTTAATAAGTCATAAGGGTGTACAAGTTGCCAGTATTTCAACCGTACCCTTCTATGCAAATTTGTGGTCTGTTCTCCAACAGTGCAGGTGACTCATCGCTGGTTGAGTCCGAGTCTGAAGTGGGTTTGATGCAGCGAAATATCTCCGGCACTGAGTCTCTGGATCAACAACAAAAATAAAAAATAAACTTGTTTTCAATTTTGAACAAAATAACTCGGCGGCAAGTAGCGCAGAATGTTCCGGCAATGTATTTTGCATCAAAAAATTGCCCCCTGCGAACTTTTTTTTTATAAAGTTTCTTAAAAATTTTTATTCTGACGAAAAGGACAGACTGTAAGTCGGATAGCAAAAAAACTCTGCATTCTTCAATGACTGTAACAGAAACATGGTTTGCATGCTAATGTTTCGAATATATCAGCATGATGCTGCATTAAAAACTTCTGAAAGTGACAGGTCGGAATTATGGGGTAGGGTCTTTTTTTTCGCTTGATTGTTGATACCTAAAAAAACTTGTAAGGAGTCAAAAGTGGAAACATATTAAAACCCTGTTTTAGTTATTCAAATGATCCATTTTTGCAGCTTCTAAACCAACTTTATGTTTAGTTTAAAAAAGTTTTAAAACGACGAATGTTGAATAAAACTATCACAAAACTCATAGGCTGCCTATAAAAAATCATAAGTGTGTTTGAAACATTCCGTTTGAAATATTGCATAGCAATCACCATTCTTTTTTAAAAAATTTTGTCACCAGATTTAAAATATGAAGAAAAAAATAGAGAAAAAAATTTAAATTTTCAAAAAGCATTCATTCAGGTCACCAGGGTTAGAATAAGAACAAAAAATTTACAGTAACTTTTTTCCGCACCTAGAAAAAACAAAAAAGAATTTTTGCCTTCTAGATTATGAGCTTCATCTCAAATTATATTGTCTTTTAATCTGTTAAAGAGACTCAGAGATTAGTTATACTCAAATCACCAAACACCTGTAATAATAAATAATAATAAATTAATAATAACATATAATAATAATAGGAACTAAATTCCGAGCAAATAATGCAAGCGAGCAGGCTTACAATAGCAGTTTTTTCTTAACTTAGTCGCTGAAAACTTACTTTTACTCAAGAATTGTTTCAAAGTTTTTTAAAGCTATTTGGAAGTTTAAAGCTTAGTTCTTGCCTCAAAAGTTCTTTCCTCAAAAGAATTTTAAAATTTCTTTTTGATTTTTTGATATAATTTTTCTTAGTCATTTTTGTAGTTTTTTCCTATTTTACTATGACTCTCGAATATCATCAAGGCACGCAGTAAGAAAACGACACTAATTTGAAAAAACAAAACATTTTTTTTGAAATTTATAATAATATGGTCGGAACATTCTCTGCTACTTCGGTCGGAACATTCTATGCTATACTATGGTCGGTACATTCTGTGCACAGTATCGGCTATCCTTGTTTTATTATGCTGAAAGTTCGTTTTTGCAATTGGTTTATTCTTTTCGGTATCCGCAAAAAAATCTATTTTGATTGCCGTAGC